TTAACTTTCCTTTTTTGTAAATGAATGATAGAAATTTTTTTCCTAAGACAAAGAAATGATTCATCTAAATCGTATTAATTTAAGCAAAAAAGGTGCGAAAAAAGCCTTTTATGCGTTAATTAATAAAATTTTTATTATGAATATCGAGTGATACAATCTTATCATTCATTTCAATTGCGAAATTTTTAAAAAAAATTTAATACCAATAATTGATACCCTCTCGTTGTTTTCTTCTCGTTTATTCGCGCTTTTTATTTTTAGTACTAAATTAGTAAAAACAAAAAAAAACAGAAATTGGATTTGTGATTATTTATTATCATACATTTGAATGTCAAGCAAGAACTGATAATTTTAATAATCATCGGAAATTGCTCTTGCTGTAGAGAATGAATGATATTATATAAAATCATTTCTTCTTAAGCACCAATCTATCACTTATCATTTTTTAAATTAATTTTCAATACCTAAAGTTTAATCGATTTAAAGCATTCATAAAAGCAACTTGGAATAACTAAACCAACCAACTGAATTGATACAAATAGCTTCATATACATTTTTCACAGTTTGCTAATTGTTCATGCCAGCTTTTTGATTTTTTCTCTTTTTCTGGCCAAATCATATAATAATAATAAACTATATCAAAATGAGCCAAGTTATTCTTATATGATAAAAAATAAGATAGACTCATTTCTCTTTCTCATATCATTCAATATTTGATGTAATTTGTGATAATTTTGTAAAAGCTGGCACAATTGTACAAAATACGATGATTTAGTAAGAAAAACAAATTCAAATGCATATTTTCGTTCAAAAACAAAAAGGCACATAGGAAAGATTGAATGAAATTCACAAACAATTTCGGTGAATTGCAAAAAAAGAAAGAATTATATCTTTTTGATGAAGAAATATGAATTGCAATATATTTAGCATAAATAAACAAATGAGTAAACAAGTAAATAATAGACAAATCGTTGGAAGAAGATTAAATTATTTGAAAAAAAGTTGAATATATGCAATGCATAGTAGAATAATAGCAAAATTTTTATTAGACTGTGGAATTGCCAATTGAGAATGGAGAAAGAATTAGATGAAAGTAAAAATATTCCATAAAGCACAGAAAAATATACTTTAGCAAATTATTAATTTTATTACTTAAAGTTTACTTAAAAAAGTTTATGAGAATTAAATTTTTTTGAAATTTAAGCACATTTGATTAACAAAAAAGTAAAATGCAGCAAAAAAGAAAATAGATTTCATTGATTTATTTAAAAAATTCAAAATGAATTTTTTGAATACGATTGATTTTAAAACAAATATGAATACAGTAACAGATATGAATGAAAAATATTCATTCTATCATTTTCCTTATGACGGACGGTTAGTAATTTTATACAACGCCTATTTTAAAGAAAAACAATTCTACTTTAATTCATTTTTTTAAATTTCACTTTCCAATTTGAATGAAACATGGCTAATATGAGCACTATTTATCAGTAAGCTTTTTTTTATATAAAAGAAAACGAATTGTTTGACTCAAAAGAAAAAAGAAAGTAATTTAGTAATGCTATTTGCTTAATTGTTTGTTTGAAAAAATATTCAAAAAAAGGCTAATAAAGCTATAAAACATATCAAATAGTAGTTGATAAGAAGACTAATTGACATAACTACACAGGATTTGTGTAAATAAAATATTCTTAACAGAATATATATATATATATGGTTAATTAGTTGGCTAATTAATTAATTCCACTTCAAATATATATATTTCGACAAATATTCAATTCATTAATACCTAGTAAATTTATGTCGATGAATTGGACCATCCGTTTGAATTGCCAAATTTGAATATTAAAATATTCATAGTATCACTCATTTGTCATAATGTAATTAATTTTTTACTATTTATAATATTAAAAAATGGAAGCAATTATGAGTTAAACAAATTAATGCCTACTATACAAAGAAGCTATCTTTACTGGAAGTTGGAATTGATGACAGCACTCTTGGCATTGTTGCAAGTCGGGTTGAAGTAAAAACTGAAGGACGAGATTGAGGAGAGAAATGATTTGCTGGCATGCGTTGATGTTCCTGACGACTTCTCGTATGTTGCAGTGTAGTAGTCAAACCCGGCCTTGAAAACAACTTAATTAAAATAAATATTATTAGAACATTTAATCTTTTGTTTAATATCAATTATTAGCAATAGAAGGGTGTAGATAGTGAAATTATCGGATTATATTGGAATATAAAATGAGTTTAAAACATCAAATTAGATCAATACAATATTTTTATAATCATTTTCATAGCTGATAATTCTATAAGATCAGTATAACAAATATGAAAATTTAATTTTGAAATTGCAAATGCCTATATTTCATTTTAACTTAATGAAATGCTCAAATATGTATATTTTAATTGGAATTTTTAACTAATACTTGAAAATTTGAAAAACCTTTTCAGAGCATTTCGTATCATTTGTACTTCGTCAGCAATTAACCCGTAACTGAGTAAATCAATATGACCGAGACGTATCAAATCAGAAATCCTGCTAACACCAGCCATGTTAAGTTTCAATGCACAATGTCCCAAACCAATACGTTTCAAAAATTCATCCAATGAAAGTTGTGAGATTAATGGTAGAGATTTTGTTAATGTATCCGTATCAACCGAACATGAAAGCGTACCAAATGTTGAAAATCCAGTACTATAAACTATTTACTTACTTATTGATTTCTATCTCAATAAATACTTTAAACAATGAATTAAGAACAAAAAAAGTCAGAAAAAAAAAGAATATTTCAAATTCGGGTCATTTTTGAATTAAAACGAAAAGAAAAGCAAAGCAAAGCAAAGAAAAGAGAGAGTACAATTCCGTAAGTATACAATGTATCTTAAATACATATCTAAAATATTTATCATAAATTCTAATATTGCTTATCATTAAAATTTTCACAATAATATACTTTAACATTTATAAATGATTTAACTATTGCTCTTCCTCAAATTATCAAACATACTTTACTGTTGCTGAATTATTCAAATCATCGGTATAAATTAGTGCCGGTTGACGAACATATTCTTCGAGAATTTTAAGTATTTGTGCAAAAGTTGGTCGTTTATGACGATCAATATGCCAACATTGTAACATTAAATTATGCAACGCTGTTGGTGTATCCATCGGTGATGGCAAACGATATCCCAATGTTATTTCGCTGATTACCTTTTGATTCGTCCAATCCCAATATGGTCGTTCACCAAATGAACAAACCTGTAATTATAATAGCTTGACATTTAATTATAATAGCTTGACAGCTAAATTCTAGCAAAATACATTTTACTTAAATGAATACATTTATTTAAAGATAGTTTAGAATGGAAATTCCAAATAATAATTTATAACTGTTTTACAATTTTTATGCACTTTTTAATGTATTTTATGCATTTTTAAAATATTTTACAATTTTCATTCATTTATTAGATTAATATTCTTTTACAATTTTTATGCATTTTCCGGGGAAAAAATGATTTTAAACTAAAATATGTTTGCTAAGAATTAATAAAAATTTGTGGAGAAATTTATCATTTCATTTTCACTATTTCATCTAACAGTAATGAAATAATAATTTAAAAGTGAATAAATCACCTCCCACATAACAACACCAAAACTCCAAACATCTGAGGCAGCAGTAAACTTTCGATGAGTTATAGCTTCAGGTGCTGTCCAACGTACAGGTATTTTGCCACCATTTGTTGTATATTCTTGTTCAACAGATCCATCTACACCACGACTCAAACCAAAATCAGCAATTTTACATAGCAAATTTGAATCTACCAAAACATTTCGAGCTGCTAAATCCTAAAATTAAGAAAAAATGATTTTCAATAATTAATTTAATAAAAATATATTTGTTAAATTATAGCATTTAAAATTACCCTATGTACAAAGCCTTTTTCGGTGAGATATTTCATTCCAGCTGATATTCCTCGTAACATATCGATTATTTGCATTAATGATAGAATTCCATTATCATTCCTTCGTAAAAACTGATCCAACGAACCGTTTTCCATATATTCAATTACTATCATAATCTGAAAGTAATTTATCATTTGACAAAAAAAAATTCTAAACTGATAAAACTTTTAAAATATCTAAATTTCAAAATTTTTCAGTATATTTATTTATCATAAAGAATGAAAAAGAATGCTTACTGGTTCATTTTTCGTTACCACACCAATTAATCGAATTACATTTTCATGAGCGAATTGACCCATAATGGATGCTTCCATTAGAAAATCACCTTTTGCTTTATCGCTGCTACCTGGCTTCAACGTTTTAATAGCAACAGTCTGAACCTGTAAAAATTTCATTGCAAAAATATTTTCAACTAGCTTCGAAAATTTTTCATAAGTGAGATACACTTAAAATTGTAGTGATTTCATTTAAATAAGTGTATAAAATTCATAAATTTGAAATTCATTTCAAAAATTCGACATTTTTGATAGACCGTTAATTTTTTTTTCGTTCCAATATAAAATATAATTCCTTTTTCTAGATATGTAGATATAGTCGTAGAATATAATTAGGATTCTTATTTTGACTTGCAAAATGTGTTACCTGGCTAATATCAGAAGAGATCATCCTGTAAGATGGTTGCAAGATACCTTTACAAACTTCACCAAATTCTCCACTTCCAATAACCTCCGTGATACGTATCAATGCTGGATCAACATCGTTCGCGAATTCCGACAAAGCCTATAATAAATTTAAAGCCTATAATAAATTTAATGTTGTGAAATTATTAAAATTATAAAATCTGTTTCAATCTTCCTTTGAAATGCATTTATAGAAAGTTCCAAAAAGAAAGAGAACAATGAAAGTTACTAGCAATTTCAAATTTATTAAAATATAATTGAAATTTGATAAATTGTCAAATTTTGTTGAAAAAAATATCGTAATTATCCATTGCTATAAATGAGTAATGATCTACCTGATTCGGATCTTCATATGCTGCTGGATCAACATAAGGCTTGAAACGAGTAGTTTCACCGTAATTAGTTGATTGTGATGAACCGTAATTTATCAATGGTGAACCTACTGAAAAAATTCATAAAAATTAACAAACTGATTTCATTAAAGCAAAGTTAGAAATGATTTTTATAATCGCATTATTCTTTCAAAATACTAATGACACCAGAATGATATTAGCATCAATAATCAAGCAATGATAGGCTTACATTTTCCGCGGAAAAAATTCTGTACCGGGCCTTGTGAAGTTGGTGCGTTAAAATCTGGTGTTAATGTACCTAAAAATTTCCTTAATTTATAATAATATCAAATAAATTGCTTATTACTTTTGAACTGTAAACAGCAATTATTTTAAAAATTTCAATAGCAAACATGCGGTAGATGAATCACTAATCATGCTAACAATTTACTAATACAAACAATTAAAACGATTTAAAAAATTTGTTTAGCAGATAAGATAGATGAGAGCATTATCATTCTTATGAATATAGCAAAGATTTACGAATGAACATTGACTTTTCTCGAAATTACATTTAAATTAGTTTTTTTTTTAGTTTCGAAATTTCGAATTTTTAACTTCAGTAACCTTCGAAAAAATTTGAACAAGCCTAAAGATTTTAAACATAATTTGGAAATTACATTCAAGTATGCTTAAAATTTTAAACAGATGTTATTTTGAACTAAATTTCCAACATCCTTTTTACGCTCTAGGAATTTAGCCAAGACAACAGATGCACAAAAGCATGTTATAAAAGCAAAAAAATTTTTTTTTTAAAAATAAAGTGAGAAAAATAGCAACAATACCATAAGAACAAGAATAATGTCGAACTGAAATGAAAATGGAAGCAAAATATCAATCTACCAGTAATTATTTGCATAACTGGACAGAATTTGATTTAAAAATTTAAGCCTAATTCCATTAGCAACTATGAGATAAACAATTAACAGCAAATATGTAATATATATTGAATTAGTTACATAATTAAACAATCAATATTTCATCTTATTTGCGCAGCAATAATAAGAATAGATAAGCTTCTGATAGCGTAAAAATAAATTTATAAAATGAAAATGTTTGTTCATCAATTTTAAAGTTAGAAAGAATAGAAGAACTAAATAAAATAATTGAAAATACCATTTTTATAGGAATCGATACCATCACAATCGCTTAATCGTTTTCGATTTCGATTTTGTCGTAAACAAATGAGCAACGTGAAGAGGACAATAATCACAAAGGTGCATATTAGTAAAACCCATACCCATAATGGCGGTCCAGGTGATGACCAATGCAAATCACTGAAAATGATTGGAGAAATAAAAAAAGAAAAGAAAATTTTTAAATTTTAAAAAGATTTCACTATATTTCAACAAGATTTCATTATATAAACTAAAAAAAAAAGATTTTACTATATTTAAATTTATTACTGCAATTAAATAATTGAAACAAATATAATAATTTACACAATGCTATTATTATGCATATAATCATCATCATTATCATTATCGTTATCAACATTATGGTTTATTGGCCCAAATGGTAAACCAAGACCAGGTTGATATAATAATGGTTCACTCCATGCACCATATCCATGTTCGCTTGCTATACGTACCTGTAATATTAAAATTTTGAAATATATTTAAATTTTCCACTTAAATTATTTATAAAATATAACTCTTTTTTTATCCTTGTTTACCTTAACTTATAAAAAAAAAATATTAGCATATTACTCAAT